CATCCTACCCGGACAAACTTGCAGATATTAAAGTGGAGCCATGGTACCTGAAAATCATAACACCACACTTATAAGCACTTGGAGATCTTATAAAAACAGACAACACACAAAATGACCAGCAAACATCCATTTCTCACGATTTCTTTCTTGCGATAAACTTTTTCTTCTCAGGCCTTCCAAGTGCGTTGTTGTAATACCAAACCAGCTTGACCTGAATTATGCATACATGAGATTTATAAGAAAATCTTATAGGTAGACAGCTTAGAAAATAGGAGATCTAGGTAGATAATAGAGTTTGGAAAAGCCTCAAACCTGTGTATCATTGGCCTCTGATCCACTATTTGTAAAAAATGCTTTGGCCATCTTTTTGGCTGTGAACATGTCTATAAGATCCTTAGCAAGATCCTGTTTTTGAGGGGAAAAAAGGATATCACAATGATCACATTCTCTTTATGCCCTGAGTCTTAGCACCACACAGAAAGCAGCAGCAGACTGTAGAAAAACGATCATAATATTGACACCAGAAGTAGAAGTCTTTTGAGTACCAGAGATGGTTTAGTAGTACGGTTCCAAAAGGAGTGATAAAACGGCAAGGTGTTCAACTGCTCTACAGCAGCAGAGACGAGCCGTGGCTCATTTCCTCCTGCAAGAGATTGAGAGGCATCAATGCTAGGAGTTTCACAAATATCCCAGGAAGCCCAAAATGCCAAAAAAAAAAAAAAAAACATAAAAAGGAGAAACATCAAATCAAGGGTACTAACAGAAGGAACAATATACCTAAGGCGGTACACCACAGACCAGCGAGAGAGTCAAGATACTTATTTCCATGGTCATCATACACATAACTTCCCTGTAAGAAGAAGGAAAGAAGTTAAGAAAATGTCACACACTTGTTTGTATCAACATTGACGAAAGAATCAAAAAGAAGGGTGACCTCGGATTTTGCTATGATCAAGGGATCTAAGTCAGCACTCTGCCACCCAGCTGTAAAGGGTGCAAGCATATCATGCCCTTTAGACCTGCTCAAAAAATTCATTGCATCTCTTAAGAAAAAAAAATCATGTGTCCACTATTCATTGTCACGTTGACAAGGCTAGCAAACAAAAGCATGAAGCTTTTACAGAAGCAATTAAGAAAATGATCACTCTATATAAGAAACTTACCCAACTGGGGTTTGCTTCTCGGGTGATGCTTCTGTAGTGAAGATCCTGGAGCCAGACACGTGCTGAGAAGAAACAGCATACCTGCTCTGCAAAGTCACCTGCCATATGAGAAAGTAGTGATATATTTTTGAGCTATGAATAATGAATCAAAATCACTGTTTGATTTTAGTATATAAAATGGATTTTCCTTCAAAAATCACTATTTGGGTTATTTAAATAAAATAAAAATAAAAATGGTTCCTTGATTACTGGAGAATCCTCAAAAAGGGTTATACTTTCAAAAAGACGTCTGACCTTTTTCATCATGATATCAGGTCAATGCATTCTTTGATAAGAATATCAAATTTGATGATTTTGATCATGGAATGAATAAAAGAACGTTCATCTGAATTCCGATCTACTTATGCTTATGGTTCCAATGATGAAGCAATCGGGAAGAGAAGAGAAGTGGATGAATAATTACCTGAGTGGTGCGAGCCAATCTTCGGAGGCTGTTGATTAGTGCCATTTCGAGATGATCAAAAAAAAGAAGAAGGAATCTGAATCCTGATTCTTCTACGGGAGTGAGCGCGTTGAGATTGCTTCCCTTTTTTAAAATCTGAGCAATAGGATCATCATTGATTCCTTCAAAATATCAATTATTATTATCTTTTCTTTTTTATCTCTTCCATTTTTGTTTTGAACAGTGACGTGTCATTGAGTCATTTTATCACCATTTTATTTCAGTTTTTATTCATTTTGGCAAATTCCTTACCATATTAAACCACACCAACTAGGCCAACTAATCGGAAAATCAATTCCAAACTTGGTTCATATGTTAATTTTTAATTAAAGTTAGTAGGACAAATAATTAAGTCTTTGTGACACAATAATATGGGTAGGTATTTTTAGCATTGAAAATAACTTAATTATCAAAACATATGTTGATAAGATATGATGGAATCATTTTCAGTACTGCTAGTTTTTTTTTTTCCATTTTAGTGATTGGTTACCATAAGAAATTTTATACTTGTTACCTATTATTGCAGTTAAGGTTAAGGTGGATTGAACCATAATTACTTTCATCTTCCTGATGTGTTCATTTTGTGTTTTTTCGTTTAATAAAATGTGGACTTGAATCATAGTGGTTACACACAACGATACAAGTCAAACACAAAGTTACAAATCATTTTGAATTTAAATAACAATAGACAAACGCTTAAAATTGCAAACATTACAAATCTGTCACATCCATGCCATAGATGACATTGACAAGACACCACATAAGACCAAACATTTTTGGTTTTCTCATTCAATTATTTTATTATTCAAAATCATTTATATATCTATATATGATAATTGGTAGAGATTATGATAAAATATTACCACTATGCTATAAATGTGGTATATCGCACAAAGGGAGAATTGTATAAATACATATTCTTATATATACTAATTCACATTTACCTTAAGAAGAGGGACATTTTCAAAAATACAGTTCTCATTAAAGGATAAAAGACTCATATATCCTTGTTCTTTATATATATAAAATAAATATTTAAATAAATAAAAACACAAAAAAAAAATTATTTTTTTTCGAATTATACTATTTCAAAATTCAAATCCTAAGCCTTAAACCCCAAACCCTAAACTCTAAACCCTAAACTCTAAACCCTAAACTCTAAACTCTAAAAATCAACTCTAAACCCTAAAATATCAATTCTAAACCCTAAACTCTAAACCCTAAACCCTAATTTCTAAACATTAAACCCTATATTCTAAACTCTAAACCTTAAATTCTATACCCTAAACCCTAAATTCTAAACCCTAAACCCCTAACCCTAAAATTATAAACCCTAAATTCGAAATCTTAAATCCTAAATTCTAGATCCTAAAACCTAATTTCTAAACCCTAAACTCTACACCATAAATTCTTAGCCCTAAATCCTAAATTCTTAACCCTTAACCCTAAATTATAAACTATATATTTTCTACAAAATTAATTAAGGGTATTATGGTCTTTTGACTATCAAAATATTAAGGGTAAAGATGATTAATGTAAAAGTAAATAATATATCATGAATGTGCTAGTTTTAGTAATTTCTCTTGCAAAAATTGTAAAATTTCATTAATGCATTTAATAAATGAGTGGTAGAATGATAAATCATTCATATTTCATAAAAACGTATTACACAATAAATAGTACTCTATCCGTTTTTTTTAAATTTGACACTTTAAGAAAAATATTCTGTTCCAAATTTAGATATTCTCAAATTTTTATGTAAAATTTATTAATGGTTGAATTGTGGTTAGGTAAACAGTTAATGATGTTTTTATTTAGAAAATAAAACCCAATTAAATGTTTTTAATCTATGTACATAATCTTAAAACATCAAATATAAAAAAAAGGGAGGGAATATTTATATTATTAAAACTGAAATACATTTTGGTATTAGTTGAAAACATGGGTAACTGTATAAATAAGAATTTTTTGGAAACATGAAAACCAGATTAAGTATTTCTTTATTTACATATTTTGTCACTGCATTTAAAATCAATTCAAATTAATGAATTACAATAATTGTTGTTTATTTGTGGTGAAAAAAATAAAAACTGAAATATATAGTATATATATATAGTATTACTTTATTTAGTTCGGTCAAATATAAAAATTCTCATAATTTAATTTCCAAAAGAAAAAATATAAAATTGATAAGAATTCGCAGAAAATTAATGCAAGAATTAAAATTTTTTAGTATGTTATTTAATTTGAAAATAAATTAACAAAAAAAAACAACATGTTAATACATAAACAATACAATTACATCAAACTGTATCAAATTATAATTTTTAATATAATACTATCTAAAAATAAAAAAAGTATTATCAAACATCTATATTGTAAAATAATATATGTAAATTACAAAACATAAAAAATATACATGATAATTTTTCTAAAACTAACAATTTATGAATTTATGTTGAACACAATTTAAATCAAACACACGCATGAGGGTGCGAATCAATTTCTAGTATTTATTAATAAAATTACTCTTTAGATATAAACATAATATTTTAATATTATCAAATAAAATAAATTAAATTATTTTTTAAATTTGTATTTATTATAAATGTAGACGATATACCGAAAACTTCATACAAAAGTATTGAGTAAAAAGTATTTGAAGAATATCTTTTCTATTAAAAGAGAAGTACCAAATTTATCTACTATTTAGAAGTCATGTTGGACCATGTTATTAATTACTTAATTGACATATTTTATTGTTACATTAACCAGTCAAATATATATGATTTTCACAATATCTTAATAATTAATAAGAACACTAATAATAAATAAACTTAAATATAACAAAATCTGTTGAAAAAATCTAACAAGATCTTACCAAAAATTTTAAATATCTTTTTTTTTAAAAAATAAGCATTTTTTATTTCATTATTAGATATGATTATAATTAAAACTAAAATATAAATCATATATTAAAAAAAATTAGTTATATATTTATAAAATGAAAAATATACCCGCACGGAAGTGCGGGTGAAACTCTAGTTAATATCTTATAAATGCTTTTTCAATAAATGTTTGATTGGAAAATGTCGTAAAAAGGAACATGATATTTTTACAAATGGTCCGTCGATTAAACCTGCTGTGCAAATGGATGCATCAAACACTAAAATATGAACGCAGAAAAAAACAGCGTGTCGTTTAAGTTCAATAAACGCTGAAAAGTTCAGGGTATACGGTGCCTGACGACGCGCAATCTACCAATCGTATCATTCGTATCCGAGTAAGAGGGAAACGAAACGATAAATCAATTTTAAGCAAGTCAATTCCTATCTGTCAATCTTCTTCACATTTTAGAGCGAGAGAATGATACTTTTTTAGAGAGAGAGAGAAAAAGTAGGCAAGAAAGACGGTCACTGACTGAAATAAAGATCACTCACTCTCATACAAGAGATCTCATCCCCCGATCTTTCCTTCCTTCCTCCGCCGCCGGTAAAGTTTCTAACTTTGCTTCTGAGTCTCTGAGTCTCTTCAGTTTCTCAATTTTTGAGTTTACTGCAAAGTTTACATTTTTTTATTACAATACAGAGTAGTTAATTGGGATCCTAACATTGTCCGAAGAATCTAGCTACTCAATTGAGTCTCCTTATTTGTATATCTGATGCCGCTTCAACCCAGAAAGGAAAGTTTGTGTCTTTCTGAATAATTCAGCTGCTAAATGCAATTCTGCAGGTAGTTCTCAACTTTCTCTGATACAATGGGTGCTTCTGGGAGATGGATTAAAGCATTAGTTGGTTTCACCAAATCTGATAAGTCAAAGTCCAAAAAGAAGGATGATAATGTAAGTGATACAAGAGAATCTCTTTAGCTAAATGCCAAATGTTGATTAAAGATGCATACTTTCTTCAACTTTTTTATTTTATTTTAATTATATGTTTGTTCAATTGGTGAAGGTGAAGATTGCAACCAAGAGCCGGTTTGGGAGAAAGCATTCAGTTGATTTTGATGCTGAAAAGTTTCAAGATGGGTTTGAAGATTCCAATATGCACAGCATGATAGATACTGGAGTCTCTACTTCAACTTCAATGCAATCATATGGTGCAGCTTATGAAGAACAAAGGAAGGAACATGTGGCTGCAACGCGGATTCAAACAGCTTTTCGAGGGTTTTTGGTATCATCACTGTTAACTTAATTTACATCTGTCTCAAGCGTTACTTTATGATTTCTCTTGTTTGTGTTGCGTGAGACACACAATGGACTGAGAGAAAGATGATACATTTTTTTCAGGCTAGAAGGGCTTTAAGAGCATTGAAGGGATTGGTTAGACTTCAAGCCCTCGTCAGAGGACACGCGGTGAGAAAGCAAGCTGCTGTAACGCTTCGATGCATGCAAGCGTTAGTCAGAGTTCAGGCTCGTGTACGCGCCAGACGTGTTCGTCTAGCTTTGGAAAGTGAATCGGGTCCGCAGATCCTTCAGCAACAGCTTGCAGATGAATCCAGAGTTCGAGAAATTGAGGTGATGATCATTTGTCTGAGTTATTTACAAACTTTATATGGCTTTTAACTTCTCTAGTATAGTCATTTTGACTGTGTTCTCAATTTATCATCTCTCAGGAAGGTTGGTGCGATAGCATTGGTTCTGTTGAACAAATCCAAGCCAAGATACTAAAGAGGCAGGAAGCTGCAGCTAAGCGTGAGAGGGCTATGGCATATGCTTTGACTCACCAGGTTACTCACAACCTCTATGCTTTTTAAAAGTACATCTGATTTTTTATGGGTTTCTCTTCTATAGGATCAATCTTTAACCAAACACTATGATAGCAAAACTGAACCTTTCTACTCTTTAAGTTTTTTTTTATTCTCTTTACCTTATTTCTGAAACTCTTTGTTAACGGGAGTTCTACGGATCCATTAGTCATTTTTCTTCAATGAAAAGTGTATTTTTTGCCGATGCTACTGGCCTCATGTCAGCCCCGTTAATAGTTGTTTCTTTGTGACCGTAAAAGGATCTTTGTTTCTCTTCTCTTACATATAACTTTGGTGTATTGTAGTGGCAAGCAGGAACTCGGCAGTTATCTGCGCACAGTGGTTTTCAACCTGACAAAAACAACTGGGGATGGAACTGGCTAGAAAGATGGATGGCTGTTCGTCCATGGGAGAACCGGTTTCTTGACAGTAACCTCAGGGACGACACCATATTAGCTGAAAACAATATGGAGCAGTCTGAGAATGTGCATAAAACTCAGATGAAAAGTGCAAACAAGATGCCAAACACCTCAAATCTTGCGTCTGGTGTTTCGAGTCAGAAGGTAACCGGGCCATCTTTGTCGGATGGTAATTCCTCTTCACCTGGAATATCTTCAAGCATGCCAGTGCCAGTGGTGTCCAAGGCTAAGTCAAAGCTCGCTAAAGATGATCTTGCTGTAGAAGTTAACGCAAGACCGGGTGCTGGTCCAAGATCACAGAGCAATCCAAAAGAAAGATCAAGAGGGCCAGATAGAGCTTCAAAGGAACGTTTATCTCTGCCAAACAATGGTCAGTTCTCTTCTCTACCCCAAGGCTTCCTCGTTTCTTTTCTTTTCTTTCCCTTTTTTGATGGGTGAGGAAATAGTCTTATCAAACATGGTGATAGTGATAAGAAAATCAGCTTTGCATTTGTCATAAAGATACAGATCACAACTTAATTATTAGGGTAGCTAGGTGTTTCAGTGGAGACTTTCACCATACCTCAAAACAATATGTACACATCGAAGAAGCAATACATTTGATCTTTGAAACATTTAGGTTGTCTTTTGACCTTTTGTTTTTCTTTTTAAGTCTAAATTGTGAATATTCTTGGGCAGGAAAATCTTCAGGATCTCAGTCAGCTAAAGCCAAATCTGCCCAAAGCCAGGGAAGACGCAACTCAGACCCAATAAAACAGAGGCATGCATAGCTATGCTAGTCTCTTCTGAAAATCGTCAGCTCTCTCATCGTTCCTGTACATACACAGCTACTGGAAAAGGAAACAAAAAGAAAAAAGACAATATCATGTGAGAACACCGTGGGTTTCATTCAGACTTGAGAAGAGTTGCTTGGTTTCATTGATCAAGAAGAGAACACCATCATCTTGGCGCCTTTCTGCCTTCATTGTTGTTTGTTATTTATGTCAGCGATCTTTTTGTCCATGATTCTCTGGGGATTCTTATATGGATTGGTAAGTAGTGTTATTATTCAAGTAGAGTTGTTTGTGGGTATATCTTGTGAGAAAGTTTTTTTGTTGGGAGAACGAACCATGCTTCTCATGGCCTTCCCAATGTGATATATATATAGTGTGTTGTATTGGTATAAGTTTGATTTTTTCAGAGTGATAATATCATCATTATTATAACGTATCACATGGTTATCATCTTTTCGAAACGGGAAACTGGTTGATTAGAAGTGCAGGGAAGAAAATGTCAACAAGCAAAGAGATGCATGAAAAGAAAAAGTATAGGCTTTACTGAATCTGGTTATTTCTTGTGTGGATATTAACCAGATGTCTTCCAAAGTCGATAGTGTCACCTGTATGTGTCAGTCTTCTCTCGGCTTGCTATAGAGGAAGAGGAGATGAATCTTTATGCGGAAGAATGGGTCTTGGATTCTGAGTGTTGCCATGGCTTCCAATGCAATACTCATCCTGGCTACTTTGGCTTGTAGCCAACAAGTTTCTATAAAGAGAAGACTTCGTTAGATCATTGTTCTGTATCTCCTTACTGGCAGCCACATTTTGCATCTGTGCTTCCACTACCACTAGTAGTTTTGCAAACCGTGCCAATGGAACTAAATTCATCACCACGTAAATGGCTAATATCTATCCGTCTTGGTGCCAGTGCCATTCTCTTGGTGCCAGTGCCATTCTCTGCTGCATCTGGACCATGTGAGGGGTCTATATGTGGAATGACTTCATCCTTCAATAAAACTAATTAATGAGTTTTTGTTAAATCTTAATGGTTTCACCCAACTTTGTTACATTATTAGGGCTAATTCTAATTTACAAATAAGCTCATTACATTTATTTTAGTCCCCCCACAGTTTTGTTACTAGAAATCTGGTAGTCAACATTTGAAAGCATACTATAAAATTTAAACATGAAAAAGAGTTAAATATTTGTTTCCAGTTTAAATAGCTTTATAGAGTCATTAGCAATACATTACAAAAAGCATAAGCTAAAATTTTGTTCATAATTGTATGAATGACCAATCATATAAAAGCCTAAGTCTAGAGGGCGCATGTATAGACAGACTAGTAGTACATTCATAATGCCATTAGTCACGCTTCATCTAAAATTACCAAGTGAGTATTGGCACGCGCAACGCGTGCGTAGTGGGGGAAATATGGAACACACACAGGCTAGTGTTTTTTTTCCTTTCTTTTTATTTCTAAATAATGGAGACAGAGAAACCCTAGAAACGTAAGAAAAAGAAGGAATCGTGCCTCCTCCTCCTCCGCCCACTCGCCTCCTCAGATCGCGTGAACACCACACACAATTTTCTCTCTTCTCCTCCATCATCCCTTCCGCAGATCGAAACGCCAACTCGCACCGATTAGCGCGTGCTTCCCTCCTCTTTCTCCTCGCCACCAGATTACAGATTGTTCCTCTCTCTGCTCCTCTTCGTTCGCAGGTAAATCTCATTTCACAGTATTCGATTCCAAGAAATTAAAATTGGATTCAAGAATATGTAGTAGAATGAATAATAACGAACCACTATGGATTAAGCTACAACTACTTTCATGTTCTGTAACGATAATAACATTTTGTTAATTTTGTGGTAGCAAGAAGTCATGGATATAGATCTTCACCTACATTCAGGTGACCTCTGCAAAGAAGGTGATGAAGAAGAAAGAGGACTCGACAACGTCTTACACAACGAAGACATAGATATTAGCAAAATCGAGGTCGGCCACACCGATAACAACAACAACAACAACAACGCAGGCATCAGTGTTCCAGACAACACACAACAAGGTGTGAATCTTGAACCGCTTAACGGTATGGAGTTCAACTCACACGGTGAAGCGTATACCTTCTACCAAGAGTACTCTCGAACCATTGGGTTCAACACTGCGATACAGAACAGTCGCAGGTCTAAAACCACCAGAGAGTTTATTGATGCCAAGTTCGCTTGCTCTAGGTACGGCACTAAACGAGAGTACGACAAGTCTTTCAACAGGCCAAGAGCTAGACAGAGCAAGCAGGAACATCCTGAGAACGTGTCTGGTGGTAGGAGGACGTGTGCCAAGACTGATTGTAAAGTGAGTATGCATGTGAAGAGAAAGCCTGATGGGAAGTGGGTGATTCACAGCTTTGTGAGGGATCATAACCATGAGCTTTTGCCTGCTCAAGCTGTGAGTGAACAGACTAGGAAGATTTACGCTGCCATGGCTAAGCAGTTCGCTGAGTACAAAACTGTTATCAGCTTGAAGAGTGAGACGAAAAGTTCTTTTGAGAAAGGTAGGAGTTTGTCTGTGGAGACTGGGGATTTCAAAGTTGTGTTTGAGTTCTTGTCGCGGATGCAGATTTTGAATTCTAACTTCTTTTACGCGGTGGATCTTGGTGATGATCAGCGTGTGAAGAATGTGTTTTGGGTAGATGCGAAGAGCAGGGTTAATTATAGCAGTTTTTGTGATGTTGTTTCTCTTGATACTACCTATGTGAGGAATAAGTACAAGATGCCACTTGCTATTTTTGTTGGTGTGAACCAGCATTACCAGTATATGGTCCTTGGGTGTGCTTTACTAACTGACGAGAGTGCAGCTACATTCTCTTGGTTAATGGGTACCTGGCTGCAAGCGATGGGTGGGCAAGCTCCAAAGGTTTTGATCACTGAGCATGATCCTGTGTTGAACTCCATTGTCCCTGACGTCTTGCCCAATACACAACATTGCTTGTTTCTTTGGCATGTGTTGGTTAAGGTCTCTGAGAATCTTGGTCAAGTTGCGAAGCAACATGAGAATTTTACAGCAAAGTTCGAGAAGTGCATCTATAAATCATGGAAGGAGGAAGACTTTGCGAGAAGATGGTGGAAGATTCTTGCTAGATTCGGTCTCAAAGACGATCAATGGATGCAGTCTCTATATGAAGACCGAAGGAAATGGGCACCGACCTACATGACCGATGTTCTTTTGGCAGGGATGTCTACATCTCAAAGAGCTGATAGTGTTAATGCTTTCTTTGACAAGTACTTGCATAAGAAGACTAGCGTACAGGAGTTTGTGAAACTATATGATACGATTTTGCAAGATAGATGTGAAGAAGAAGCCAAAGCTGATTCAGAAACGTGGAACAAGCAGCCAACAATGAAGTCACCATCGCCATTTGAGAAGAGTGTTTCCGAAGTCTATACTCCTGCTGTATTCAGAAAGTTCCAGAGTGAAGTTTTGGGTGCAATCGCGTGTAGTCCCAGGGAGGAGAACCGAGATGCAACATGCTCTACTTTCAGAGTTCAGGATTTTGAAAACAACCGGGACTTTGTGGTTACATGGAACCAAGCAAAGGCTGAAGTCTCTTGCATGTGTCGGTTATTTGAGTATAAAGGCTATCTCTGCAGACACACGCTTAATGTTCTCCAGTGTTGTCATCTTTCTTCCATCCCCTCTCAGTACATATCGAAACGGTGGACAAAAGATGCAAAAAGCCAGCAGTTTTCAACGGAGCCTCAGCAGTTGCAGACTAGGCTACAGAGGTATAACGATTTGTGTCAGCGAGCTTTAAAGCTGAGTGAAGAGGCGTCCATCTCTCAAGAGAGTTACAATATTGCCTTCCTTGCGTTTGAAGAAGCTTTGGGAAACTGTGCTGGTGTTAATACTTCCGGCAGAAGTCTTCCAGATGTGGTCACCTCACCAACTCAAGGTCTGATATCCGTCGAGGAGGATAATCAGAGTAGAAGTGCAGTGAAGACGACGGGCAAGAAAAAGAATCCTACTAAGAAAAGAAAAGTAACTTCTTGTTTATGATCTCCTGTACATACAACTTATGGTTTTTCTTAGTTTTGCGCATTTACGCATTGCAAGTCTTATGATTGCAGGTGAACTCAGAGCAGGAGGTTATGCCAGTTGCAGCGCCAGAAAGCTTGCAACAGATGGTCTGTCTTTGTTAACATGTAGTAGCAAGAGACTGTTAAACTAGAGTCTACTTAGTATATGATATCTGAATTTTGTATCTGCAGGATAAGTTGAGTCCAAGAACAGTTGGCATAGAAAGTTATTATGGAACACAGCAGAGCGTACAAAATATGGTAACTAAGCACAAAATACTTGATTTATTCTCTTGTAGATTGAGATTACTGTATGTATTGTGGTATGATCTTTGTGTGTGTGTTTACAGGTCCAGCTAAACTTAATGGGGCCAAATCGCGATAAATTTTTTGGGAGTCAACAAACAATTCAAGGATTGGTATGAAAAATCGACCATCAACCCTATCTGTAACTAGCTTATGTTGTTTTTTTTCTATCATTAACTTGGGATAAAAACAAAATATCCCCGGCTGGTTTTCTGTAGCGACAGTTGAACTCAATAGCACCAAGCTACGACAGTTACTACACTGCTCAGCAAGGCATCCATGGACAGGTACCTTAACCTATTCTCAGAGCTTTTACATGACTGCAAAACCTACTCAGAATGATCATTCCTTACTTTTGTTTGTTCTAGGGAGTAGATTTCTTCCGTCCTCCCAACTTTACTTACGATATCCGGGTAAAGTTTCAGTTCAAGTAACATATTTGCATCTAGTGGTGAATCTTTGTTCATCGAAACACACATGTTGATTACTGTACAGGATGATCCTAATGTGAGGACTACACAGTTGCATGAGGACGCGTCTAGACACACTTAAAACCAGGCTAAAACCTAACCATGGTTCAAATCTTGAAAGAGTCTGTCCCTCTGTAGACCAAAAGCCAGCAAGCACTGAGAAGATGAAGCTCATTTCGCGATCAGGTTTTGGAAACAGAACAGGGAGCAAACTTTTTGGGTCAAGTGTTAAAATAGGATATGTTGTATTGTTCCGCTTCTGTTTATATTGGTCGTGTGTGTATTAGTGCTTGATGATCCCCCACAAAGCTTTTTATCATTTACTGTTCGAATTTAGAGGAGGGGAGAAACATTTGTTTAGAGGATACTTAACTATTTATAAACTCTTGTTAATTCTTTTGATTAAGTTTCTTAAATTTGCCTCTTAAGCCACATACAAAATAGTATGTCGTTTACTCTTTGATTCTAGTGTTTTCTTTTTCGAATTTTTGTAGAATGAAATCTTATATGCAAAGACAATACAGTATCTTACAACTTCCTAGTATTATGAGAAATGGTCAAAACATGTAAAATGATAATATTGATCAAGGTATAAGTAGTCAGATTATTGGTTTACTAAATTCTAAATGAAATTTAAAAATTCAAACAAAATCATGGGTCCTAGTGGTAAGGAAACGGTAGAGATTTTGACTATTGAAACTGTATGTATTATTTCAAATATTTAAAAGTAATAAAATAAAAAATAAAAATTATTAAAACAGTAAATAATATTTTTAAAATTTTCACGATAAATATAAAGTTATGCAGATAACAAGAAACATATATGAAAACGAAATTAATAAAAGCATAGATGAAAACAAAAGTAATAACTAGGATAAGTATTTTAGTTATTGTGGAGAAAAAAATACTTTTTTATAATAAAAAAAGAAAAAAAAGAATATTTTTGTTTCCAAAGTCACTTAAATGAGGTTTTAGACAAATCAGTGAAAAAGAAGAGAGAAAAATATGAAATGGTTTTGACAATTTTGAAACCATTTAAACTAGAAAATGTCTCATTGGTGAAAAATACTCTAGAAACTATTAAATCTCGACAGTTCCAATTCCAATTGGAGCCATATGTTACTGAATTAATAATAAATCTTTGTTAGTTGTCACATGTTATTCATTTAGTATTTTCAAAATAATACTGAATTCAGTGTTATTCATCATTTAATTTGTTTAATTTTAACAAAAAAATTCTTAGATTTAAATAACTTTTTGTTAAAAATACAAAGAAACAAACAAAACTGAAAAAATGAATTTTTTAATTAAATAATTTATTAGATTTAGAAATTATTATAAATTGATTTAAATTAGGCATAGAGCATGTATGAAACATGTATGGATCTTGCTAAAAAACAATTGGATCTTTAAATTTTGTACCATATGTACTCATCAGTATAGTATATATCTGAAATATAATCTAGTATATTCATAATCGGAGTTTATATTCCCTTCAAATCTTATTTTTCTTTTTTCATAACTCGATTCAAGCAATAATTACAAATACTGATACTCCCTCCGCCATTTCATAAACTTATTCTCAGTTATTCACTCTGATTTTACTTTATTCATTCGGCAATTTAAAACCCAAAACCTGTAATATAGTTTCTTTGATTCTTCCAAATGGAAACACAAAATAATCGCTTCCAATCATCTCCTCTTTCATAGACTTCAAGGATAATTCACATTCACATGTATTGGTATTTTTTATATATACTTGATTTGTACACTATCATGAAGAAATGGACTCATTTTCAGTTTGGATTTATCGAGTAAGATTTGTTAAACAATGATTTCTATCTTTCTTGTGTCTTGTATATTTTTTTGTTTTCTGTTTATTTGTTGTTGTTTGCACGACGTTCAGAAGTTTATTTTTGAAATTTGTATACGATTTCATGTTTGTTCATTAGTCCCGGGGCATTCAAGAAGAACAGGCTGTATCTTTCTCGGATTCATATTCATGTTAATATATGATGTGTTGATAATCCCCTATATATTAAAAGAGAAGCATTGTCTTTAATACTTTCACACCACCTTCGTCACGTGTCAACTTAATAAAACTTCTCACAAATTTATTTTCATTTTTCCTTACAAATTTAATAACTAACAGTAACTTCTTTTTTTTTTTCACACAACGTTTGCTAAAAACGTAACCAAACAATTTTTCGAACATGAGTTACATATCCACAGAGACGATCCAGACCCGGCCAAGAAGATCGAGCTCTTAGCTTTCTGGGTCCCCTTCTTGCTCTTGCATCTCGGTGGTCCAGATACAATCACAGCTCTTGCCCTTGAGAATCTTAGAGGTTGAGCTCAACTTCATCTATGATGCTCTATTCATGAAAATTGAGATTCTGCACAATCCTATAGGACTCAGCTTCAGGTTTATTACCCTCGGATGCCTTGTAGCATCCCTCTGCATCTTCCAGTACAAGAACAAGGACCAGTACGATGTATTGGATGGTTGCCTTACGTATGCATTGTTGATAGGTGGAATAGTTCTGGATACCCTTTATTTCATCATGTTCTGTGTCTCTGACTGGACTTTTCGAACACGAGTTACATATTAACGGAACAAGAGTTACGTGTAGGGAAAAAAAAGTTGCAGGACCTGATGCCATGATCTTTGCTGATATGAACGAAGCTCTGTTATTATTTCCTCACATACATTAATATCATACCAATACATTTTTCTTTCCAGAATTGTCAAAAAGCGATTTCTCATTTGCTGCTTAATATTTCTTTTGTTTTCGTACTGTCTAAAATATTCTTCCAGAAAATATTAGTTCGTACACTACTTTTATAAGTATCTATTTAGCAAGTTTTTTATTCATACATAGGTCTACCACCAAGAAGTAGAAATTTATGTTTTCCATTTATCATCAAGATTATAACCAAACAAAACCAGAAAACATATATACAATATAAATAATTAAAATACAAATAATAAATTTAATCCTTTTTTCTACGTTAAAAAGATATTCTGTTACTTATATTTCTGGCTAAAAAATTATAAATAATCATTTAAATAAATTTCTATTCGAAACGTTATATTCTTAACTAACGATTGTTTGTTGTGTTTTTGTTGTATTTCTGGCACGCAGAAAATATGTAAAATTAAGATATGGAATGAATTTTTGAGTTTCTTGAACATATACATAATTTATCTATGTTCAAAATTTTGAAATTATTATACATATAAATAATAATTTATTAAACTCAATATTGAATCATGAAACGAATTAAAATGATCTCAATTTTTAAAGTTTTATTCAACAGTCAACTTCAAAGAAGATTCATAAACCTATAATAATACTTTGAAATGCATTATTGAAAATTTGTTTGTTCTGGTGCATTTATTATGATAAAATTTTGATCATTTAAAACTATGTTGAAACTCATATACACAAGTAATATTATTAAATTAACTGAATATAATTGAAAATAACCTTAAAATATCTTACTATTATTTTTTTGTTTCACATATTAAAAATAGTTTACAATAAAAAAACTCTGTGAAACAGTAAGAAAATTTAAAATTAAATTTCCGTTTTATATCAATAAACTAGGCACAACCAAAGGAAAATATTTACTTAAACTGGTCAAATAAACACAAATCCCCAATTTGATGCAATAATTTACATACTAAAATATAATTAAATTTAAAATTCAATTTACCATGAATATATATATGAAAATTATTGTTCGTTTCATTATTTAAAACAAAAAATTACTATAACAACACTATTAATATTATTTGCATCTTCGGAAGAAGAGCAAAATATTAAAATCAAATTATTTTGAAGCATTTTTAAAATCAAACAAGAGTGTAAAAGACCAAATTAAATTGAACAACACAACAATAAAAAATCCTAACTATCTTAATCTACTTTGATGTTGTAGTCATTTTTTGGTTTATTAGTTATCAATTATGTAAAACTATTAAACATATAACCAATAGAATTCTCGAAGAAATTTAATGAAAATTTACAAAATGAACAACCAAAATTGCTTACAAAAATAATAACTTATCAAGTTAATGTTAGTAAAATTGTGACATGAAAAAAGATAAACAATACATCAGATATAAAAATATTATATTATACTAATTTAAAATACATAATTACTCTAGTTTTTATAATATTCGAGTGGAGCTAAAAATTATTCTCCCAAAGATCCAAACCCATATTAACTCTGAACCGAACTCAGTTGGACACATGAACGCCGTGCCTAGATTATATTTATATCTCAACTCAGTCTCAAAATGATGGTTACAAGATTTTAGTCCATTTAAATCACTGAAAAGAAAATGTAATTTCCCCCTAAAGTAGCTATTATATGTGTTGATTGATACAAAATTCTAACAAAGGAGAACGATGATTTAGTTCTTCATATAATATCACACGTCAGGATTAGATTATGAGATGCAATCATATTACATATCATACGTCAGGATATTTACGAATACTTACGAATATTTCATCTGTTACAAATAATCTTATATAAATTTATTTTCTAAATTTTTTTACGTGATATATAAAACAAAAAGTAACGAATTTACATATTTTATATTTTTATGTTTGAGTTAACAACTATAATAACACAAAACTTAAGATTTTTTTTATAATTTTCATAATTTTTGTCTTCTTTTTATCTAATAATTTTATTTAAGTAATAATGTAAATTTAATTAGTCAAATCATAAGCTATAATCATAATTTTATATATTTAAAATTTTAAATATAATCAAAATATACATATATTTATATATTTCCTGATCGGATCGGATATCCGCTTCCCAAGATTTTAATATTTGTGATTTGCTTCGATTTTAACGGATATTGATTTTTAGTATTTGATTTGATTCGAAAGTTTACGGATATCCAAAATTTTCGGATCGAATCGAGACGAATAACGAATTGAATCAAATTTAACGAATAAAATGTCCAGCCCTATTCATATTACATATCACACGTCAGGATTAGATTATGGTTTTGTTTGAAAATTCTCACTAGTTTCATGTTTGCTCTTTGGTCATAACTTGTTTTACATTCATTCAAAGTCACCTACCCCGGCCCCGTCAATTAATTTTTATCCACTCTTTCCTTAATCAACTGCGTAAACATTCATTCCCAAAAAATCCAACTGCGTAAATAATACAGTATTTATACCTATTATTTATCAAAACACTAGTATCTTAACTCGTAAGTATCACATACTGTAGTTATTCTTTTTAATGGATAATCGACTAATCGTTTTCGCTGATTAAAACAGCCTACGGATTCTCATTATGCTTTCGATTGGAACTAAATTGTCGGCATATTATAATTCTACTACGTCTCACCTATCAAGATATTTTTAAATGATATCGTACTATACTATATAACAAATCTCATCGTTATTATCATTATCGTTAATCCGTCGTTACTCATTCGTGCTATATAATACGGCTACTGTACTAAGAGCATGTGCAACGGGAATCTTAGGAGGAGTAGAAAATATTAATTTTATAATCATTGGATCCCATGAATAGTTAAGGATTCTATCCTTAAAATCTTTATTTAAGTATTGATCCTTGCACTATTCGCGTGCTCCACTGCACACGTGGCGATACGTGAATGATCACTTTTTAAAAAAAAATCTAAAATATTCTTATATAATCTGAAATGGTTTTTTTTTTTCCTAAGGATTCCTCTAAAGATTGCTATTGCATATGGTCTAAGCAGACAACGTGATATAAAATGACGAACTTTTATTTTCTGATATAAAAATATATTAATTAACGTTTTGTTAAGGAAGAACGTACATAAAAATATGTCGTTAGCTATGTGACGATTATGTAAAGTGAGGGATTTATTTACTATTTTAATAAAAAGAATATACATACACAGTGAATTAGGCCAATTTCGTCAACTTGTTGTGAAAGTAGCCAATACAAAACTAAATTCTACTAGTTAGTTTATTGGTAAAACTCAACTACAAATTGTAACTTCGTAAGGTCCATTATCTTAATATCTTTTCATAAATCTTGATAATATCGAATCAGATTAAATCATACTATTAATAAAGTCAGTAAATAAAAATGTTTTTCTTCAGTTAGGAAAGAAATGTGAAGCCACAGAATCTAACATGTTTCCTAAATCAACGGTCATGATTGATTTAGAATAGTCTTTCTTTGACCAAGTCTAATCACTAAACCTAAAATAAAAAAATAAATAAGCAACAAACGAAGGCAAATGCTTCTTTGTTTCTTACAATCTCACAACACAAAATGGCTAACTCAAACGATTGGTCTCACCTCTACAACAACAACAACAACCAAACCTTCTACACAACTTCCACCATCACTTCAACCGCCGTCGCAACTACCACAGCCGCTTCTCCCTCCGGTGAAGCCACCTCCATGGACTCACGTCTCAGTCCAGAAACAGGCCGTGTAACCAAACCGGCACGTAGAAGATCAAGAGCCTCACGTAGAACGCCAACAACACTTCTCAACACGGACACATCCAACTTCCGTGCCATGGTTCAGCAGTTCACGGGCGGTCCATCCGCTATGGCTTTCGGGTCAGGTAATACCACTTCAGGTTTTAGCCTTACCTCTTCGTCGGATCCATCTGCCGGATCTTCCCAACAAGTTCCTTGGCAATATAGTAGTTACCAGCCTTACGCGCCGCCTCCACCACAACGGCCTTATATGTTCTCGGTAAACAACGTGAATCCCATCGTTGGTTATAGTAACATGAACAACCCTACTACGGTGGTTCCCGGGGTGTTTGGAACGGCGGACGGTGGAGGAGGAGGTTCTGCTCCGTCTGCTCAAGAAGCCATGAATAGTAATACGTCGTCTTCGAGGCTGCAATGAGAAAACGATTGGATTCTTTTGAATATTTTTTTCTCTTTTTCGCATAAAGGCAGAAATGTTAGGTACTGACTTTCTTTGTCATAGAATGACAACTTTGACTTTTGTATATTTAAGTTTTTTCCGTTTCATATTTAAGCTTTTTTTTTTTTTTTATCTTTGTTTTAGTCTTTTAGCATGTTTATAGCGTTATCGTGGTCCTAAATAAGCGAATATTTAATGACTGAAGTTGCACACTTGCTTGCATTCAAATTTCAATTTGGCTGTAAACAAAACAAACTAATGTTTCCAAATAAATTTGTATGTTTATACGAGGATAAATTATCAGTTATAAAAATTATTATGGAATCCGTATTTTCTACTAGACTTTTTTGAAAAAGAAAAGTCTATAGGTAAACTAAAACAATGTTCTCGAACACTAAACGTATCAACGCTCTAATCTCTCTACAACATACTTTCACGTGAATTCTGAACTGCTAGTGAAAATTTAAACTTCTTCAATATTATTCGAATAAGTAGTATATATGTATAACGTGCATGTAAAGGAGGGAATGTGAGACAAGTAGCTTACATCCAATTTCTGTATTCATTATAGACATTCAAACATGAAATTATTTAGTGTGAATGTAGCTTCTTTACCTGCTTTACCAAATCAGCTCGACAAAAAGCAAACTATGAATATAACTCTATATAACTTATTTTATAAAACATGCATGGAATGGAGGATATACGAGGCAACTAACTAACATCCAACGATCGTATTCTTATTGGATAAAACTGTAACCGTATGTGAATGTATCTTTACAAATTTTCGCGATAATATAGAATATAATATAGGTTATAACTTAATAGTTGGCTTCTTTTTATGGCACAATATAGTTTCTTATGACTTGTAGACGGAAAACAATGACTATCCTTTTCCTTTTCAGAATTTGATTTGCTTTTTTCCTTTGTCTTCAATCATTAACTTTATAAGATTTCTGAAATATAAATTGAAGGATTTTCGTAAAGACCATAATAATCTTTTAACAATAGAATATGGTATGAAACCAGTGATTTGATCATTATATAAATTAAACTTGCCCTTCGTTCGGAAACAGAGGAAGCTTTTTGGTGAAGGTAGGCTACCAACATGAACATACCTAGATTCTTACGTTATCGTTTATTTTCCTCTCTTTATTTCTTCGGGGTCATATTAATTATGATTTAGACTGAAAGTGAGATGGGTCTTTTGATGTAGATCGATGTTAATATAGAAATAGAGTTTGGCCAATATACCAAAGCCAAACTCTATACTTATAGAATGTCATTAGTTTTGTTTGTTTTTCTTGTCTTTTGCATTTTTAATAGATTTTAGATTCTTACGACAGATCCATAAATTAATAAGAGAATATATCTATCATGTTGTAGACGTGTTTATATTTGAAAAAATAAAATAATATAAAAGGAATTAACAATGAAGAATCTTATTTAAAAAGTAGCATTAAAGAAGTGACAAAAAAATGAGTGAGAAAGGGGTTGGGAAGAGGGGATGTATTATACACATTGTGGGACCTAAAGTGAAAATTCCTTTTCTTAACTCAATTTGAATTGGTGCAGAAAAAAAAACATATTGAATTCAGTCACCAATTACTATACTATACAATTATACGAACTATCTTATTAAGACTCTCAATCTAATTCTTTGGTAGATTTTTTTTGTTATCTTAGAGCATCTGCATTGTTGCGTTTCTTCAAGAACGTCTCTGATCAATATTATACTTTACATTTTAAGATAATTTGATTATGCATTAAAATTAAATGGTATATAAAAAGTTACGCCAATAAACATGGCCGATCCTGAGATTTTGGGGGTCTTCGATGATTTTTAAAAATTTCAGCTAATTTTTTTTAAACTAATTTGGAAGCCTAAATTTTTTTTTGAGAGGCCTATATACCTATAATTTTTTCGAAATTTTCGAAGGCATGAGGCAAATGTTTCAAATAGACTTGACTCAATATCGACCTTGCCAATAAAACAAAGACATGTGTAGACAAATTCTCTCAGCATCCTTTGGTAATCTTTTTAGGAATGGTCGATTATGACATTTTCCAATTGCTCTCTCTTACTTTTCAGTTTTTAATTAATATTTTCTGTAAGAGATTTTTGATCGATTATCCCCATTTCGTGTTGTTTAAAAAACCGAAATGATTCACATGTACCATAAAGATAATTTTAGCAAATATATATAAAAGTTTGGAGTGTGTTTAGGTATTTTTTAAACAACACGAAAGATGGTAAATAGTATATATATTATTTAACTAGAAAATTCAGTTTTTTATAGGGATTATCCCACATATTTCAAGAAAATTAAAAAAAACTGAATTTTTGTTTTGATGAATGGCTGCATCATACATCGACATAGTATGAATATTAAATAGGTTTGAGACTTTAAATGTTTTCGTTTCTCCAGAAAATAGGATTTTTATTGGGGTTAATCCACATATTAAGTGATATATGAATGTTAAATAAATAAATTATTGGAAAATTAGAAATGATGTCCATGTAGGATAAATATATGTTTAGCAAACATATATAAAATTTAGAGTGTGGTTAGGTATATTTAAACAACATGGAAGTTTCTAAATAGTATATATAGCATTTATCGAAAATTCAGTTTTTTTCTAGGGGTTAGCCCACATATTTAAAAATAAATTATAAAATATGGTATTTTTGTTTTAGTACATAGCTGCATCATACACTGACATAGTATTAATATTAAATAGGTTTGAGAACTGAAATGTTTCCGTTTCTCCAGAAAAAATAGAATTTTTATTGGGGTTAATCCACATAGTAAGTGGTATATGAATGTTAAATAAATTAATCATTGGAAAATTTGAAATGATTCACATGTACCATAAAGATAAGTTTAGCAAACATATATATAAATTTGGAGTGCGTTTAGGTATTTTTTAAACAACACGAAATACGTAAATAGTATATATAGTGTTTAACGGAAAATAGCCCACATATTTCAAGAAAAATTATAAAAAATAGAATTTTTGTTTTAACGCATAGTTGCATCATACACTGCCATATTATGAATATTAAATAGGTTTGATTCCTTAAATGTTTTCGGTTCTCCAGAAAATATGATTTTTATTGGGGTTAATCCACATATTAAGTGGTATTTGAATGTTAAATAAATTAATCATTGGAAAATTTGAAATGATTCACATGTACCATAAAGATAAGTTTAGCAAATATATATAAAAATTTGGAGTGCGTTTAGATATTTTTTAAACAACACGAAAGATGGTAAATAGTAAATATAGTATTTAACGGAAATTCAGCTTTTTCATAAGGGTTAACCCACATATTTCATGAAAATTATAAAAACATGAAAATTATAAAATCATAAAAATTCAGCTTTTTCTTGAAATATATATAAACATATGATATATGTATGCTATTTCAAGAAATATAGAAATTTGTTTTCGTGTTGATTATGCATTAAAATTAAATGGTATATAAAAAGTTACGCCAATAAACATGGCCGATCCTAAAATTTTGGGGGTCTTAAATGATTTTTAAAAATTTCAGCTAAAATTTTTTTTCAAACTAATTTAGAAGCCTAAAATTTTTTTTTGAAAGGTCTATATACATATAATTCGTTTCGAAATTTTCGAGGGCATAAGGCAAATGTTTTAATAGGCTTGACCCAGTACCGTTCCTGTCAATAAAACAAAGACAGGTGTAGACAAATTCTCTCAGCATCCTTTGGTAATCTTTTTAGGAATGATCGATTATGACATTTTCCAATGGCTCTCTCTTACTTTTCAGTTTTTAATTAATATTTTCTGTAAGCGACTTTTGTATGTACCAACCAATGCGGATGATCTTATATATTAAAATATAAGTCATAATTTTGATTCATGTGTGACTTCAAAAAAAATAAACTATTCCTTTGAAAGATTATCAAGATATGAAATGTTACATAATTTAATGATAATATCTTAAAGTATCTTTATCTTTCTATTAGAAATACAAATGAAACTAAAGCCAACAAAATCTTTTTTGGCAACTTTTTAAATTATATTTCGCTAAATCACTAAACTTAAATTCTAATTATCATAAAATATTATTAAAACTATTATTTTATTTCTATGAAAATTTAAAATATCTAAAATATTTATAATTATATTTTAATGAGAATAATAATATAAGTTGAATGGTGTTTCAAAAATACTTATTTACAAAATTTAAATAGATTATGTTAGAAACAAATACTTGAATTCTATTTCAAATATACAAAATAATACATAATATATTTATCTATCAATACTGTTAAAACGAATTAAGTCATGAGTTATTTCATGTATACTATTTTTATTTGGACCCTTCTTTAAAACAGTTATCAAATTTTACATAATTTATTTATAATATCACCTCATATCTTTATCTTTTTTTGAAATACAAATTTTTTTTTTAAAAAGAGTTAAAATTTATCTAGATAGTACTATATATTCCTAAAACCTAAATAAAAATTTATATACCAAAGTTAAACCCACACATATTTTTATTTTATAAATATAAAAATTTGATGGTACTATAAACATTTAAATATATGATTGAAATTTAATGTTCACTACAAGAAAACTCGTTCTTTACTAGGACGACTTTTCCTCGTTATTTCCTAGTAAATGTCCATTTACTAGGAACTTACGAGGAAACGCGTTTCCTCGGAACACGTTCATTGTAAAGCCTTTTTCCTCGTAAGGTCCTAGCTAATTTACGAGGAAACTTTTCCTCGTACACACGTTTTTCCTCGTAAGGTCCTCGTACATGTATCCTTGTAAAGTCATAGTAACACATTTCCTCGTAAACTCGTAGTAATGATGACCTTACTAGTAAAATGTACGAGGACTTTACTTCGAAAATATTACGAGGATTTTACTTCGAAACCTTTTTTTCCTATTAAAAAAATATTAATTATAAATATAAATAATATATTTTAAAAAAT